TTGGTGGGCCAGGTAGTAGAAAGTAATGGAAACTCCTAGCTCATTAGGTGTCAGTGGAAGATATTTTGAAAAATACATTATCTTCTGTGGGATCTCTCAGTTCTTCCTTGAATCGTCTATGCTGCCTTTCTTGTGTTTTCTATGCCTTGGGCTGTCTTACAATTGACCTTCATCCACCAGGGGATCTTGGAGTCTCTCTTGTGATATAAAACAGTCTAATGTACCAGACTCAAATTTTTTTTTTATCACACCATTCTGCTTCTCTGAGAAAACACTCTCCTAAACAAAGATATAAGTGTAATTGCAAGTAATTTTGCTCCTAAAATGACACATTTTGGTGGTCATGTGGGTAACCATGACTTATGATTTGTACACTTTGCAGAATGCATGTCTAATTTAAACAAAATTTTTTAAAAGTGATGCAATAAATTATATTTATTTTAATGTGTTAGAAGATGAGGGATCACAAAACCCACAGACATTACCTCCTTTCTGTATATATTCATCCCTCTCCAAATCTGTGAACATTCATGCTGCTTGGGGACCCTTTCATGAAATTAAGGTCTTGATCAATATTTGTCCGCATGACTGTTTTTGTAGTTAAGTTAATATGTAGCTGTTATGGTAAATGCACGATGCTTCTTTGCACCATGTCACAAACTTGACTTGAGACTGAACATGCAGGGCATGAGAAGACAATCTGAGACAACAAATTAATTTGGTTAAGAAGGGGAGTCTACTGAACTTTTTTAGCAGTCTGGCTGGGTCAAGACTGGATGAGAGGGTTGGCGCTTTGGTGCAGCGGGTTAACGCCCTGGCCTGAAATGCCAGCATTCCATATGGGTGCCGGTTCTAATCTCAGCTGCTCCACTTCCAATCCAGCTCTCTGCTGTGGCCTGGGATAGCAGTAGAAGATGGCCCAAGTGCTTGGGCCCCTGCACCCGCGTGGGAGACCCAGAAGAAGCTCCTGGCTCCTGGCTTCAGATCAGCGCAGCTCTGGCCATCGGGGCCAGTTGGGGAGTGAACCATCGGATGGAAGACCTCTCTCTCTCTCTTTCTCTGCCTCTCCTCTCTTTTTGTAACTCTGAATTTCAAATAAGTAAATAAATCTTTAAAAAAAGTTGGATGAGGACTGAGGCCCACAGATAGTTCACTGAGAGGAAAGACAAGAGTGGGATCAGGTTGAGTTGATTGGAAAATAGAAGGTACATAAGGTCTTCTGAAGGGGTTGATGACGGGGGATGTAGATTGGGAATGGGTATTAGCAGAAACCTAGGGCTTACCAGTGATGGAGAGGCTCACTGGCTTCACTCTTAGGTGAGTTGCTTCCCTTTTGCAGAGATGATAACAGAACATTCCGGCAACTACTACTGCACGGCTAACAATGGCTTTGGCATCAAGAACAGTAAGCCAGTGAGCCTCTCCATCACTGGTAGAGAAGCCCCTTATCTCCCTCCTATCGGACATAGACCCTCACCCCCACAGCTCCTTACTTCTTTCCTCTGCATTGTGACCAAGGAAGAGCTGTTGCTTGTGTGAAGTGAAATAGCAGAGAGAGATTATGTAAAGATGAAATTTATTTGGGAACAGAATGGCATCACAATGGGGAATACACAAACCATAGTACCCTTGGAGCATATTCACGGAGGTAGAAGCATGAGGTGGTTTTTTTTAAAAGGCAGAATGAGAAGGATTACATAAGATATTTTGAAATAATAAACCTTGGCTATTAATGTTCTCTATATTAGAAAACAATAAAATAACACAAAAGCAATCTTCTTGGCATTTAATATCCCCCACAGTCTCTTTCTCCTCTTTTCTGTGGACACCTTTATGGAAGAAGTGGTTTACAATTACTGCCTTTACTTCTTTACCACACACTAGTTTTTGCCTGTTGCAACCCGGTTTTTATCCCAATCAGTCTACTAAAGTTGATTTTTCATATTTATGAATATGATAATGATGATACTTATAAACAGTATAGTGCTTTTTATCTGTGTGCCTGGTGTGTAGGTATATTTGTTATACATAGTTTATAACTATATGTATGCAGACACTAATTTAATGATCAAAACAATTCCATGAGGTGGGTACTATTTTTGTCCCTATTTTACAGGTGAGGAAATTGGAGTCCAAGGAGACGGAGTCATGACACTAGTCAGCGGTGGGGCAATGCTCAAAGCCTATTCTGGGTCTAGCCTGTGCTCTTCTGCTAAAGAGCTCTCTGTGGCTTAAATTCAGTGCATGTGACTCATTTCTGATCAACCATCTTCCCTCAGCTCTGTCATAACTGAATTACTCTACATTTTTAAAAAAAGTTTTACTTATTTATTTTAAAAAGAGAGAAAGAGCGAGGGGGAGAGGGGGAGAGAGAGAGAGATTTCAATCTTGTATCCACTGGTTCACTCCCCAAACGACTTCAATAGCCAAAGTTGGACCAGGTAGAAGCCAGAAGCTTGGAACTCCATCCAGGTCTCCCACATGGATGCAGAAGCCCAAGCACTTGGGTCATTTTCTGCTGCTTTCCCAGCCACACTAGCAGGGAGCTGGATCAAAAGTGGAGCAGTTGGGACTCCAACCAGCACCCATTTGTGATGCTGTTGGCACTGCAGGTGGCAGTTAACACGTTGCACCACAGTGCCGGCCCCTAAGTTTGCTCAATGTACTTTCTTCCCTTGGTTTCAGTGGTTCACACTCCCTTAGTGCCTCTGCTGTCAGTCACAGTACTTCTCAGGGTCCTTTCTCCTCATCTGGGACCAGCTTGGGGGTTCTGTCTGACTAGATATTCTCTTCATGGGCCCTCCCTTCAACATCTGGCTGCTCCCCAAGTTAGCTGTCTTATGATTCCGTCTTAACCCTACGGCTATAATGATCATCCTTGGCATGCAGACACTTTACGGACCACAGATCACCATTTAAATGAAGCCTAGTGCTTCACCATGTCTTCTTCTTCTTCTTCTTTTTTTTTTTTTTTTTTTTGACAGGCAGAGTTAGACAGTGAGAGAGAGAGACAGAGAGAAAGGTCTTCCTTTTCCGTTGGTTCACCCCCCAAGTGGCTGCTACGGCTGGCACCTTGCAGCCGGCACTGGGCCAATCTGAAGCCAGGAACCAGGTACTTCCTCCTAGTCATGCGGGTGCAGGGCCCAAGCACTTGGCCATCCTCCACTGCCTTCCTGGGCCACAGCAGAGAGCTGGACTGGAAGAGGAGCAACCGGGACAGAACTGGTGCCCCAACCGGGATTAGAACCCAGGTTGCCGGTGCCGCAGGTGGAGGATTAGCCTAGTGAGCCGCAGCCCTGGCCTCACCATATCTTCTAAGGCTGCCCTGACCCTGCCTCCCTTCCTCACCTTGCATCTCCTAGCCCTTCAGTCAATGCTACTGTCAGTAGGAACTGACCTTCTTGCAGTTGCTTGAACTTTCCAACTTCCTTCTCCCAACACATCCCTGTTCTTCTCAGATGCTCTTACTCATCCTCAGTCTCAAGTCACTCGTGAGCTCTCCTGAGAGATCTCCCCCCATCTCCCAACTCAGATTGAGATGTCTTCCCATTTGCTCCTGCATCCACCAGGGGCTTTTATTGCTTGGGTTGGTGTTTTCTCTATCACTCATCTGTATCTGCCTCTAGATCCTCACAGACAGGGCCATGTTAGTTTAGTCTGCTATGTTCTTGGACAATCTGGTATACAGAGTATATACAAGCATTATGTGCCAGGTGAACAGATCAGCTGTTATACAGAACTTTGTACATCCCTGGGTGCATTTGATAGCACTGTCACTGTCTCTGACTTCCTTGGACCTTGGGATGTCCAGAGCATGCTGTCTGTTTCCTCCATCCGATGTCTCCCTCCAAGGTTCCCTGATCCTTTCCTTTATAATCCTGTACTTAACGTTGTGGAACAGAGTGGATTCTGGCTTATCTGCAGCCTGGCTCCATTGTATTATGGGAGAGGAAACTCAGATTCCAGGCTTAGCCAAGACTGGATTCTGCTGGAGTACAGGCCCAAATTACACTGTCTTCCTGAAATCGGGCCTGAAATTTGGCCACACAAGGATGGTGCAAAACTGAGATCCAGGGCATAGCAGAAACTGCCTTAACAGCTATCTGACAACTACCTTAATAGCTGTGAAGGTATTAAGCCAAGCAAGCAGAGGTGAATCTGTCTTCTGATCTGCTTCCAGTGCATCCCCTGTCTGGGGCCCCCTCCCATCACTGCCCAATCAGCTCTTACAGAACCTGAGCAAGAGGAGGACCTTAGGTATGGGCTGGCTGCCCGTTGCTGCCAATGATCAATGTCAGATATGAAAGCGATAAGAGGCACCTTTGTGTCCCAGGGAACTGATTTTGTGTCGCTACTGAAAACAATTTAATGAATAAAAATCATGTGTCTGGAGAGAAAGAGAAAGACATTTGACTCCTCAGGAGTTAGAGGCCAGGAGGGAGAAAGCTGCTGTGCAGATAGCCTGGGTGGGACGACCCTGGGCTGCACAAGGAGCAAGGCTTACAGAGGCAGAGAGGTGGCCGGCGCCGCGGCTCACTAGGCTAATCCTCCACCTTGCGGCGCCGGCACACCGGGTTCTAGTCCCGGTCGGGGCGCCGGATTCTGTCCCGGTTGCCCCTCTTCCAGGCCAGCTCTCTGCTGTGGCCAGGGAGTGCAGTGGAGGATGGCCCAAGTACTTGGGCCCTGCACCCCATGGGAGGCCAGGATAAGTACCTGGCTCCTGCCATCGGATCAGCGCGGTGCGCCGGCCATTGGATGGTGAACCAACGGCAAAGGAAGACCTTTCTCTCTGTCTCTCACTGTCCACTCTGCCTGTCAAAAAAAAAAAAAAAAAAAAAAAAAAGGCAGAGAGGTGCTTCTGTGAGCTGGAGAGTGAGGAGGACCCTGGCTTGGCTGGGGCCAGAAGCAGAGGAGTCTGGAAGGAGAGCATATTTCTGATGGAGTTGGTAAGAGAGAGACCAGGGCCAGGGATGGGTGAGCAGCAGGTACCCAGGGCTTACCCGTGATGGAGAGGTTCACTGCCTGGCTGCTCTTGTTCTTCAAGCCATTGTTAGCTATGCAGTAGTAGTTCCCAGAATGCTCTGCGGTCAAAGAGAAGCTGACAGACCTTCTCCATGAAGTGGCTTCTATCTTCTTCAGAAATACATTTTCACGAAAAATCTGGTACAGGATCGGCAAAGAACCTCTATGGGCTTCACAGTGAAAGGTCACTGTGTCTCCCTCAACAATCCGGGACTTCACAGTGCTGAGGGTCAGGACAGGCTGAGACACAGGGACTGAGGGAGAGAAAATTAGTCAGCATTCACTTCTGCCACTTACTGTCGACTGCAGTCTGTGGCCAGAGCAAAAGCGCGGTCTGCAGCCTCTACCAGCCTCAGAGCAGCCCGGCAACCTCCCAGCTTCTCACACTGGCTCTGTCCCGGTCTCTGTGCTGGACTTTCCACTCTTCCTTTCCCATCAGACTTCCAGCTCCTGCTCTCCCGGCTCCCCTTGTTGTAAGAGGTGATGTCTTCGGGGAAGAAGTCCCTTTTCCTGCTTCCACCTGTACTACTCCCCTGCTTGCATCCTTCCCACTGCCCTGGGACCACAGAAGAGCTGCCCCTCCTGTGCACGTCATTCTGCATCTCCTCAGTCCCTTCAGTTCAGTTGGCCTCAGGGCTCTGCCCTTGACCCCCCTTTCCCATCTGGAGTCTTCCAGGTCCTCTGCTGTACTTCCACCCAATGTGCATCCAGACTGACCTCTATTTACAGGTGAGAAGACCAAGTCAAGAAGAGGCCCTAGGAGAACTGCTGTGGATGGAGTTCCTAGCTTGTGGGGAACACACAACCTGTCCCTGACTGATTCTAGTGGCCAGGTTAGCTCACTTCATTAGCTCACTTCTGACGGAGAGTGGCCTCTCCTTGCTGGTTGGGGCCCCAGGCCATTGTGTAGGCACAAGAGTCCTTCCCAGAGTACTGTGGGTACAGAGAGATGGAGGGATGATCCTCCTCTGTCCTCAGGATTTCAGCCTCATGATAAAATGGAGAGAGGACAGGGAGTGAGCCTCCCTCGATTGAGTGTATCTCTAGTGCATTTTCCACAGCATCCTAGTCCCCAGGAGGCTTGAGAATGATGAAAGGAAATGTCCTGGGGGCTGGAAAGAGACCACAGACTGTCCAGGGAGGGTCCCTGCACATTCTTAAATCAAGGAGACTTGTAGTCTTGAGGCTAGCACCCTATTTGTTCTGGCTTTATTTTCAAGGGTCATTCATTTAAACTGAGAAGAAGTTGTATGCTAAACCACTGGACATTTCTTTAATGTCTATTTCTAAGAGTTTCCAAAAGCTCCCATTGTCTACAGCCTTTTATATCCCCAACTCCTTCTGTTTAAATCTCAGACTAACCTACTGGTAGGTTATTTAGAGCTTTGAGTTATGGATAACCGTCTAAACCTCTGCCAGGTGTGGTCTTCAGTGAGGGTCCCTATATGCATTTTGAGAGCCCATTCCTCAGGTGACAGCTGGCAGGACGCACCTCTTACATTGATGGTCATGGGAATGCTGGTATAGGAGCGACGACTGTTTCTGGCTATACAGGAGTACGCTCCAGCATCGCTGTTTGTCACCACATGGATCTTGAATTCTGCTTCTTGGGAATCTTGAATTTTTGTACTCTTAAATCTCTTGTTGGGTAGCTTATACCAGGACACTGTGATGGGCCCTGGGACCCCCTCTACCAAGCAGATGAGCACCAACTCCTGCCCTTCAAACACTGACTCTGCGGTTGGGACAGTGCGTATTTGAATGTTGGCAGCAGCTCCTAAATGAATAAAAATGACATATCAGAGTCCTGGAAGTGGAGTGCTGTTGGGTGGAAAGTTACAGGAAAGAAAGAGCTAAATTTGCTGATCTTACATGGGAAGTTGGCCAGTAGTGGAGTTAGGCTTGGGAAGAGGGAGGAAGTGGGGAGAGAGCATGCTCCCACCCTGCTTAGAGAGAACCTCTGCTTCCAGTGGTCGTGTGGAGAGTTGGGACAAGAAACAGAGGTAACTCTGCCTACCTCCTCTCATATTTACTTGCACATCCCAAAGAGCAGACCAGAGATGATATCTAGTGCCCAGATGTTGGGGAAAATGGTGAGGGTGCTAAGGGGTCAGGGAGACTTTGCATCAAAGGTGATTGTCCAGTGGCTTTAGTGACCACAAGCTAACTTGACAATGAACCATTGACACATGCAGTATACTTGTTTTTGAGAGAGTACTTCTCAACCCCTCTGTGTGTCAGTTAGTTGGTCAAAGGATGTGGAGCCAGGACAGTCCTCCTGAGCAGGAAAATCTGTGATATAAATGTCCCACATCTCAGATGGGTGTGGTTTTACACAATGATGTTGGCTTAAGGCGGTGCCTTTTCGAGTTATCCTGAGGTCTTAAAGACCAATAGAAGATGACTAAGAGGGGGGAGAATGGTTGGGAGTTGGGGTTCCATTAATTTTGTCAGGGGAGAAGCTTATGTTGTAATTGATGGGTAATACCCTCTCCATCTTCTCTGAATTGTCCTTACTTGAAACAGTGCCCCAAGAAATACCTGTTACTTGCATCTGTGGAGAAAATCAGTAACATTTAGACAGTTAAGAAAAAAAAGTCAGAATAGTTCTGTTTGCTTGCCTTCTGCCTAAGAATTAGGGTAACTTTAAGGGAAAGGCTATCACTTTTCACTCTCTCTTTACTTAGTAAAGTGTGTGTCCCAGGCTATGTGTCCTTTCCCAGTGCTCAACCATATTTCCTATGTAACAGACCAAATTTAATCTGGGGAAGCATTTGGCTATTAGTTAGCAGTTACACTTGAGAACCTACACAAGTTTAGAAATGTAGGAAAAACTGACAGTGGATACAAGATCACCCCTGGTGGCATTGGGTTGGAATGGTTTGTGCTCCAAGCTTCTGTCTTTTGGTTTTCTTGTTCTTTAGCTCTCTGCATCAAGCTTCTAGCATTCTGTGAGTCTGTCCTTAAGGCTGAGCAAGGTCTGTTCAAACCAGCCAGAGGCCTCTGCCATGCCTACAGCTTATACCTGCATGCTCAGCAGAAAAAAAAAAATTATGGTGTCAGGGAAGAGAGCCTTCAGAGAGAAAACCAAGAGTTGTATCTAATGGCATTGGAAGGCAAAACAAACCTCTGTCTCTTTTCTTGGACTTTACTGGTTCCAAGCTCTTCTTAAGGGTCTTTAAGAGTTGGGGTCTCGTCTTTCATACAGTTCCCTTTCCTACACACATGAGAACCACTTTCTACATGGACCAGTGGCCCAAACTGATGTGCAGCTCTGTCCATCTCTCAGCTCCATGCCTGGGAAAATCTTAGAACCCACAGATACTCACTTTGCACTTGAATTCGGGATCTCATGCTCTCTTTCCAAACGTGGAAACTCATTGTGCTTGCCTTGCACCAGTAGGACCCCGAATCTTCAATCCACAGGGCAGGAATCTGGAGCTCTGGAGAGTCACGCCAGTCCGTTACCGGGATCTGGTTGTCTCTGAAGAAACGGAACTGGAGCTGGACATGTGACTTCTGTGGAGGGAGCTGGGTCTTACAGGTCAGGGTCACTGGGCTCCCATCTATGGGCTGGGAGGAGCTGGCTGCCAGCATAGGACGTGGAAACAACTCTAGAGAGAGGGATCACAACAGCCTCAGAGCAGTGAGGCTTGGAACTGCTCTGGAGGAAAACACAATTCACTCTCAACACATGCAAGCAGAAATTGTGGAAGCAAGCAAAACGGATGCCATTTTTGATTCCTAACACTCCTCACTGACAAGCACTGGTGTGCTTGCTCTGTCCATTTTGAGAATGGGCCCTGACATTCAGTGGTATTCCAATCACCCTTTTCCTCTTCAACAATCCACCCTTTTCTTCTTCAACAACCCCAGGGACCCTCCTTTTGACTGATCCATTTCCCACTAACATGAAGGCTTTACCTAGAACTTGGATTTTGATTGTGTTGGAGGAAACAGCACAAGTTTGCTTATGTTCGGTACACTGATAGTCACCGTTGTCCTTCAGACTTGCATGATAAATGTGGAACTCCGAACGTCTATCAAGCTGTATCAGGGGCCGATTATTCTTCCTAATGGTCTTTGTAGTCATTGCTGATTCTGCCTTTGATTTGCACCTCAGAATCACGGAGTCCCCTTCAAAAATAGCAAGTGGAGCCTGCAGAATCAGTAGAGCTATAGGAAACACAAGATGAGTTATTTGGTTCATTTCATTGTTTCCCTTTCATTTTAATTATAATTCTCATTAGATTTCATAGGAAAATGGACCCCAAGAGAGGATTATTAAAAGGGACCTGGGGAAAGGACCATCATTATTATTTTTTTGCTGATTGTAAAATAAACACATGGACTTTCAAAAAAGTTGAAAGGTAGACATGTAAGCAAAATCACCCATCACCTCAACACTCACCTTTAGCATTTTTTTTCCAAATTTCTTTCACCTATTCTTGTAGGTGAGAATTTGTATATTTTCTTATTATGGAATAAAGTAATATTTACATATTTGATAATCTGTCTTCGGCTTACCATGCTATGAACCCTTTCCTATGTCATTATTGAATGTGATTTTCAGTGGTCACAAAATTTTCCTTCAATGACACTAATGTCATTTCCTTCATGAGTCCTCTATTCCTAAACCTTAGGGGTCCTCCGTTTTGGGGGTAATGTCTATGATTGTTTGCTTAGAGGGAAATTGTTAGATTGAAGAGCACAGGCCTATTTTTCACTCCTTGCTGCTGTGCTGCTTTCTTGTTCACAAATCAAAGAGCATTGTATCCAGGACAACACAGCTGCAACTTCAGAACAGCAGCTTTAGGACCAAAAAGGGAAATCATTCTCTGTCTCTTTTTATCTATCTTTAACTAACTATCATTTCTCTAGATCTTTAATGTGAAAAATCTTCATGCTACTTATTGTTTCAAGTAACTAATATGACTCAAAACTATACATAGAACCAGGAACAATTCGCATAGATAACTTCTTAAGTTTCCTCTTATCTAGCAGGTTGTGAAAAAAGACAGATTCTCATGTCTTACCCTTTAGATTTTGATCCAATAGCTTCATATCTCCTTGATTAAAAAGCTGCATAGCTTTTGACATAGATCAAACTTTTAAGAGTCCCAGATTGAGTAAAATTGTGTTTGTATGGTTCATCCATAACCCTTAGCTGTTACGCATGACAATTATTCTCTTCTGGATACATGACTTGGGGTCACTGGTTCAATGAGTTTTTAACCCATTATCTTGCGTTTTCTTAATTTTTGTAGAATCTAACCACAGTGTGGGATAAAAGTTATTTACTCACAAGTGGTCTGACAACTAGAAAGGGAAAATGGATTGATATGGCTTCTGAAGCTCTCCTCTCAGGTCTTGCTCACCTTTAGAGAAGATCAGGTGTACAGAGTTACTTGAAGCTGAGCCCTTCGCCTGGCATCTATAGTCTCCAGACTCATGGACCAGGAAGGTGTTTCCTGGGACCTCCCTTGACATCTCAGCACCAAATTGCTTATGGTACCATACTGTTTTCCTGGGTGAATAGAGATGAAATCCATTGCAAGTCAGATTCACTGTCTCCCCTTCAAAGTTGACTGTCCATGGAGGATGGAGGGAAACAAAAGGTTTTGGCGTAGTTGCTGTGGGGGAGAGAAAGACTGAGTATGAGGTGGAAGGATCTGTGGTTCTGGCTGCAGGCATCAGTGCAAGACGGACTGGAGAAGGCCTCAGAAGGCCCCTGGGAAGGCTGTGTGTTATCCAGGAATACTTGGTTCCTCCAGGGTAGAGTGAATGACTGCTCAGGGGATGGCAATGAACAAAATGATTTCAAAAGGGCAAAACCAGCAGGATCCTTTGTCAAATGCCAATGGTTGGTTTTCCCATTGCACAAGTGGATCCTACAGAAAATGACCCTTGCCTCCCATTTTATCATGCTCATAATGTCCTAAGAATTCTCAAAGGTGTTGTTAAGATCACAATTTTGCTCTTTCTCTGAAAGATTAAATTACATTATCATAAGAATTTTGTCCTGAGAGAAGCTTGAGAGATCAATTTCTCTGACATCTTCAATTTTTCAGATGAGGATTCAAATACCTAGAAAAATCTCATCACAGCTAATTGTGGCAGGGCAAGGGATGGACAACTCACTCACAGGAATCCAGAAATGACCTAGACATGGGCACAGCTGGAGCAGCTGGTTTAGAATGAGAGGAGGGGTTTCAGAGAATTCCTGCTGTTTGTGGGTCCAAAACATTTTCTGTCCCAAAATAATGGCATTATGAGTTAGAACTAAGAAAATGTGTGATACAGATGGCTTTTATTCCTTATCAATCTCCCTTTTGTGCACACATGTTGGATGTTCTTCTGGGCCCACACATTTCCTGGAGGATTTTACTCCTGAACCTACAGAGGGTGTAATATTCCTGCTGGCATCTCCACAGTGGGGTGTTTTTATAGGAGTTTGCCTGGCTCGCTGTTTGGAATGGACTCTATCCTGAGTCCTACACATTTACCATGGAGTTGAAGATGTCTTGCTGGGGTAAGAGGGGTCCATTTGCAGTAAATGCAGGGCCTAGCAAAGGCCACGAGCTGCTTGTGCACACACCACCTTGCCTAGGGCAGATCAGAGGGAAATCATGAGGTTATCCTGGCCCTGGGGTAATGCCAAGAGACACTTTCACATGTCTGCTGGCCTTGGCAAGAAAACAAGAGGCATTAGAGATTCCCAGGCAGCTAAGGCAAATGTTGCCCATGTATTAGGAAACCCTCTTCTCCAGAGATATTGAAGGCAAAAAAAGGGAGAACTCACCAAACTGTCCACGGATAGAAGCTGGAAGAAAAAAAAGACCAGACATGAACAAGGAGCAAGGTAATGGCCACTCTTTCCCCCCATCCATTTACTATTTATTTCATTAAAATTCATTTAAAATAATTTAATAGTTATTTCCTATCCATATATACTTAGGCATTACACTTTGACTTCTAAAATGAATGAAAAATGATATCTGCTTGCAAGAAGTTGACGGGCAGGGCCGGTGTTGTGGTATAGTGTGTTCCTATATCTGAGTGCTGGTCTGAGTTCTAGCTGCTGTGCTTTATATCCAGTTCCCTGCTAATGTGCTTGGGAAAGCAGTAGAAAATGGCCCAGGTCTTAGGGTCCCGCACCCATGTGGGAGACCCAGAAGAAACTCCTGGCTTTAGTTGGGCCCAGCTCTGCTTCTTTGGCCATTTGGGGAGTGACCAGCAGGTGGAAGACCTCTCTCTCTCTCTTTCTCTGCTTCTGCATCTCTGTAATTCTACCTTTCAAATAAATAAATAAATCTTTAAAAAAATGAGTGGTGGAGTGTCCAAAAGGTATGGGGGCAGTGGGGGAAATAATATTAATAAGGAATGCAGGGGCCGGTGCTGTGGTGCAGTGGGTTAAAGCCTGCAGTGCCAGTATCCCATATGGATGCTGGTTCGAGTCCCAGATACTCCACTTCAGATCCAGCTCCCTGCTAATGTGCCTGGGAAAGCACCGGAGGACGGCCCAAGTCCTTGGGCCCCTGCACTCACGTGGAAGACCTGGAGGAGGCTCCTGGCTTCAGATTGGCTCAGCTCCAGCCCTTGCGGCCAGTTGGGGAGTGAATCAGTGGATGGAAGACTGCTCTCTGTCTTTACTTCTCTGTAACTCTGTCTTTTAAACAAATCTTAAAAAAAAAATAATAAGGAATGCAGGGCTCAAGTAAGGAGTGCTGATTTTATTATGAAAGCCGTTGGGAACCTTGGAAAGGTTTCAAGCAAGAGCATGACAAGGTTGAAATCTGGACCTTAGATGGAGTAGTCTGGCAGTGGGCAGACTTCAGTGAGGTAAAATGTGAAGGGAGAGACTGGGTTAGAAGGCAGGATAAGAAGAAATGTTGATACATAGTTTTCTTTAGTGTGTTGATCTAAAATTAATTTTTAACTTGTTTACCTTATCTGCTTGTGTATTGTTTTCTCTCTAGAATGCAATCCCTGTAAGAGCAAAGCTTTCTCTTCTGTCCATTGTATATCCCAAAGGACTTAGATCGGTACTTAGCAGGGAGAAAGAGAGAGAGAGAGAGAGAGAGAGAGAGAGCGAGCGCTCTCCCAACTGCTACTTCACTCCTGAAATGACTGCAACAGCCAGGGCTGGGCCCGGCCAAAGCCAGAATCCAGGAACTCCATTGAGCTCTCCCATGTGGTTGTCGGGGTCTCAAGTACTTAAGCTGTCACTTGCTGCCTCCCAGGGTGTGCATCAGCAGGAGGCTGAAACTGGAGGTGAAGGTGAGACTTGAATCCAGGCACTCTGATAAGGGACATGAGAATCTCAAGTAGTATTTTAACCACTGTGCCAAATGTCAGTTTCCCATAAGTATATATTAAATATTAATTTCCTGACTAATGAACTAAAGAATTAGGTTAGCAACGGTAAAGAGAGAAGGATACAGGTTTGAGAAATGGGTAGTGAGAGAGAAGAGGTAAAATTGGCAGGATTATACATTGAGGAGATATTCCAGAAGAGGGACAGATTTGGCTGATTCCTTCAATAAAAATGTTTAGAATGCCAACCACAGACCAGGGCAAGGCTATGAAACTCCAGAAATGAGTGAGAAACACATTGTCCCTGTTCATGTATGGCTGATGGAAGAGTTATCTAAACCTAGGTGGTTCTTTATTTCTGAGAACAACGGATTATTTCCCATTACCTAAATATCTTGGTCACCATGACTTTTGTATTATTTTAAAATCAGCTAATATCTTTCTGAGTGTTTTCTAGGTGGTATGCACTATGTACACTGTTTTATGAAATTTTAATAATCTTGTGAGGTAGGTACTATATCATAATTATAAAAATCAGCAAATTATTTAAATAGGTAATAAGTGACAGGATGGGGTTTTGATTCCAGATCCTTTTTGACCCCAAAGTATACAACACTGGCTATTTCCCTACCTTGTGCTTCTATGTTGCTGCCTCACTGGGATGCACTTCCCATCTCTGGAAAAATAGTTCATGCACCTTCCAGTGTGGGGTCTTTTCGTCTTATATCATGCCCTGTTCTACCCCTCCCCCCTAGCTCCCACTCATCCTTTGGGTTTTACAAAGTGTTTGTGTGTGTTATATAAGATACTTCTCAACTTACAATGTGGTTACCTCCTCATAAACTCACTTCAAGTTGAAAGTATTGTTGAAAAGGCATTTAATAAACCTAACTTACAGAACCTTATACTTTAGGCTAGGCTAGCTTGAATGTGCTCAGAAAATTTACATTAGTTTACAACTGGGCAAAATCATCTCGTCAAAGTCTCTCATAAAAAATCGTGTGGTAGTTAATATATACTACAATAAATGTATAAGAATGAAACTGACATCTTTTGATTGTTGTTTTAGCTCATGTCTATACTACTGTGAAAGAGTGGTCTTTCTACTTTTTACTTGTTGGATTTTATGGTTAGTGATGCAGTAAATCCTGTGACTATAAAGTAAATTGAAATCATGTTTTTGCAAAAATTAAAGGAAAACGAAGAAAGGAAGGAGGGGGCTTGAGGGAGGGAGAGAGAAATAGAAGGAGAGAAATATGGTTCTCTTATAATTAAATCTATGAAATCTGTTCTTATATATATATATTTTTAAGATTTATTTTCATTTATTTGAAAGGTAAAATTAGAGAGAGAGAGAGAGAAATATTTTGTCCACTGGTTCACTTCTCAAATATCAAATGGCTGCAACAGCTGGGCCTGGACCAGGCTGCAGCCAGGAGCCAGGGGTTTCTTTCTGGTCTCCCACATGGATGCAGGGCTCCAAGCACTTGGGCCATCATCCACTACATTCCCAGACACTTTGGCAGGGAGCTGGATCAGAAGTGGAGTGGCCAGGTCTCAAACCAGTGCCCTAATGGGATGCCAGCCTCATCAGGTGGTGGCTTAGCCCGCTATGCCACAACTTCAGCCCCCTCTCTTACATTAACAAAAAATGAGACATAAAATAATCAGGGTCTCTTGGGGTGGGGCCCTTCACTAGTGCTTTTTTTAAAAAAATATTTATTTTATTTATTTGAAAAGCAGGGTGAAAGAGAGGGAAAGAAAGAGACAGAACAATCGTGCATCTGCTCCCCATTTAGCTGCAACAGCTGGGACTGGGCCAGGCCAAAGCCAGAGGCTTTGGTAATACATGCATCCAGGTTTCCCACGTGGATGGCAGGGACTCAAGTATTTGGGCCAACATGCATTGCTTTCCCAGGCCGATTAGCAGAGAGCTGAATTGGAAGTAGAGATGCTGGGACTTGAATCGGTGCTCCAATATGGGATGCCAGAGTTGACTATCTTGTATAATATATTGAAGCCAGGATAGAATGCACAAACACAAGAACAAAAACTTTCTGACAACACAGTGTGCTATAGAGTATTTGGTTGTTTCACCCTGGTGACTGAGTGAATGACTGGGAGCCACGGTTCACTACCACTACCCAGCATCATGACAGAGCACCACACAGGAAAAGATCAAACTTAAACATTTGGAAGATAGTTTCTACTGAATAGGTATCACTTCAACACCACTGTAAGTTGAAAAGTGATCTGTCAAGCCATTGTAAGTTGGATGCTGTCTGTAGTTCATGACCTGCCTGCACCATGCTTTAGTACCTTTGCCTGAACAATTACTTAACTGGGATCTTGTTACATAGCTGTTTTGTGTACATTGGCTCTATATCCTGTGCTGTATACCATGAGTTTGCGGAGCACAGAGATCATGCCTCCCGTGTATTACCAACATCGTCAGCAACTGGCACAGAATTGTGCACAGATATTACTAAACAACATTTGCTGAACAAATTAACATTGAATCCTAATATGTAAACCTTGGTAAAAATCAACCAATTTGTGCACACTCAGGCGCAATAGGAATGTCATCTTCCTTGCCTGCCTCTCCCTCGGTATCTGCCCCCTCCTCCTCCCATTCTCTTAATCTCCCTGTCAGGACTGTGGCTTGCATTTGTGCACAGAAGGAGGCATATCTCATGTTAGAAACCCTGCTCTCTTATGCCCAAGGCCAGGATCTGGCTTTGCCATACAAGAAGTAAATTACTCTCCTTTGCAAAGAGGAGAGAAGTCTCTTCGCTGAAAAAGACAACACAAATAAGCAAACTTAACACACTTACTGGACTTCATGAAGTATTTGCTGTAGAAAAATAAATGGAACCTGGATTGTGGTCACTATGGTTTCATTCTCAATTAAGGGTGAGGTTTTTTCCCACTTGTGACCACTTTCTTTAGCCTCAAGAGAGGAAGCTCTGAGCGGTACAGTAAAGCCTGAAAATCCACTCTGTTTGTGTGGGAAAGATTCCCCAGCAGGGGCTGGACCCCAAGAAGGGGCCAGGTACAGGGTGGGGGCGGGCTGCCCTGCCCCACCCAGTGCCCAGGTGGAGCCGTCCACTCACCCAGGACCAGCAGTATCGCCCACAGCAGCATGAAGACCTGGTCAGCCCAGGCCTGAGAGCAGCGGAGGTGCCTTCTTGGGACTCCTTGCAGTCAGTACATGGTTCACAGCAGCCTCGGGGGGCACAGCTGAGCACAGCTCATTTGAAAGTGCATCATGCAATAGTGAATCAGAAAGAAGGAAGTAGGAGTTCCTGTCTTCAGCTGCTAATCATAGTTTCCTGCTCTGTAATCAAAGTGAGAAATAAATGTTAGGGTTTTTAACCCTTGACTCCGCGCTTTTGCTTGTAGGAAATTACCTTTAGGAAACTCTGTACTGATAGATCGATAGCATTTTTATTGTGGCATCGTTCACTATTGTCTACACACTGGAAGCTACATAAGAGACTGTGAATATAAGACTGTTCAAGAGTATGCTGGGGCCGGCGCCACGGCTCAATAGGCTAATCCTCCGCCTAGCGGCGCCGGCACATCGGGTTCTAGTCCAGGTCGGGGTGCCGGATTCTGTCCCGGTTGCCGCTCTTCCCGTCCAGCTCTCTGCTATGGCCCGGGAGTGCAGTGGAGGATGGCCCAAGTGCTTGGGTCCTGCACCCCATGGGAGACCAGGAGAAGCACCTGGCTCCTGCTTTCGGATCAGTGTGGTGCGCTGGGCACGGCGGCCATTGGAGGGTGAACCAATGGCAAAAGGAAGACCTTTCTCTCTGTCTCTCTCTCTCTCACTGTCCACTCTGCCTGTAAAAAAAAAAAAAAAAAAAAAAAAAGAAGATTCTGATTCATCTGTGCAACTACAAGCATTGAAGTCACTAAGAATGAGGTAAACCTGCATATTCCAAGAGGTAAGACACCTGGATTCATGTGAACAGCAAAAAGTGAGGTCTCGGTTGGTATTTGTAATATTATTCTATTGTGGTAGATGCAAAAACCAAGAGAATAAACTTGTACATGTATGTTAACTTCTGTACCCTTTTTCCCCCTGGAAAGTACATACACCAGTAATGGTTATATTTGAGGAAACTGTAGGTGTGAAGGAGCTGTCTCAGTTCACTGTCTATTCTGTCTGATTTTAAAATAATCCCATGTGAATGTAATAGATTTACCTTTTATTGAAAAGAGATTTATTTATTTTATTTGAAACACGGAGTTATACACACACACACAAACACACACACAGAGATCTTCCATCTGCTGGTTCACTCTCCAAATGGCTGCAATGGCCGGGACTGCACCAGGCTGAAGCCAGGAGCCAGGAGCTTCTTTCAGGTCTCCTACACAGCAGTAGGCCCAAGTGTTGGGCCATCTTTTGCTGATTTCCCCAGACTCATTAGCAGGGAGCTAGATTAGAAGTACAGCAGTCAGGACTCGAACCAGCATACATTTAAGATGCTGGCTTTGGGGCCAGCGCCGCGGCTCAACAGGCTAATCCTCCGCCTAGCGGCGCCGGCACACCGGGTTCTAGTCCCGGTTGGGGCACCGGATTCTGTCCTGGTTGCCCTTCTTCCAGGCCAGCTCTCTGCTGTGGCCAGGGAGTGCAGTGGAGGATGGCCCAAGTGCTTGGGCCCTGCACCCCATGGGAGACCAGGATAAGCACTTGGCTCCTGCCATCGGATCAGCACGGTGCGCCGGCCGCTGCGTGCTGGCCGTTTGTAGGCAGCAGGTTAACTTGCTGTGCCCCAGTGCCGGCCCAACCTTGATATATATATAATTTTGATTAAGGAATAAAACTTCACATATTTAATATACACATTTTTGGGAGCATGATGATTCTTGCCCCCATCTCCCTCCTACCCATACTCTCAGCTTTCTTCCTCCTCCCTCTTCCTTTCCCTAAATTTACGGTAAATGTTGAGTTTCCATTCTTGCATACTAGTCAACAAAAGTCCCTGAGACATTAGCTGCTGGGAGGTGTGCCAATTTCTTCTTCCAAATAATTTTTCTCATTCTTTCTCTCTGGGCTATATCTTGGCCTGCCTAAGGAGGCATTTAATCTCATATCTATAAATGCATATCACATTAAGTATATTATGTCCCATCTGACCTACTACATGCCAAGACAAGAAAAGCATACAAGGATAAATAACGATTAATCTGTCTCAGTCCAGCAGGAAGGCCTCAAAGGGGATACAGACTCTCTACATGCATTTGGAGCTAAAACAAATATCACTGCTATGAACATTCTTGTCTATGGCTCCTGGTGCCTGTGTGTACATGTTTCTGTTTTGGGGTGGAATTCCTGGCTCATGGGGGTATGCATATACAGTATTTAGTTTAGAAATTGTTACTAAATTGCTTTCTAAAGTGATTGTGCCTGTTTGTATCGAAGCAACCAAGCTCTGAGAGTTCTCATTGCTCTAGAATCCATGCTGGTGTTGGTATTGTGATCTTGTAAATTTTAGGTACTCTTCTAGGATTCTGTGGTTTTCATTTTCATGTCCTGGTGAACTATGAGATTTAGACCTTTACATATCCAATTGGTGATCTAGATGCCTGTCTATGTAAAATTCTGTCTAAATCTTTCCCCATTTTTCTATTGGTGTTTAGTCTTCCTCTCTCTAGTCTGTAGCTCATTTAAACTCTGGTTATAGGTGCTTTGGTGCATATGAACATATTGCAAATGTGTGCTTTTTGTTCACTGATAGTGCCTTTTGATGAATAACCATTCTAACTTTTGTATGGTCCAATACATCAACTTTTCCTTTTATGGTTAATTTTTCATTCCTTCTAGGAAATTTTGTCTACTTGAAGGTAATAAAAATATTCTCCTAGGTTATCATTGAGAAAATTTATTTTTACTATTCATTTTATACCCATAATATAACTGCAATTAAATTTGCTTATACCATGTATAAATGCTTATATTGACTTTTTAAAAAAAGATTTATTTATTTACTTGAAAGATTTACAGAGAGGCAGAGGGAGAGAGAGAGAGAGAGAGAGAAAGTCTTCCACCAGCTGGTTTACCTCCCAAATGGCTGCAAAGGCCAGAGCTGGGCCAATCTGAAGCCATGAGCCAGAAGCCTCTTCAGGGGCCTTTTGGAGAGTGGATCAGCAGATGCAACATCTCCCCCCCTCTCTTTCTACCTCTTCTCCTCTCTCTGTAACTCTGCCTTTCAAATAAGAACTCTTAAAAAATTTAAGACGATTTTTTCAGTCTTACTGAAAATTATCTTAATATTCTTAATTAAAGATAAATCTGCTTTTGTCATAAAATACATAACTACTATCATATGAAGGAATGCTGCTTCTATTCTTAATCTTTGTGTGATCTTGGGCCATTTAAGTAGATCTGCAATTATCCATTCTTTGAAAATTAGAGGCCTGCGCCGCGGCTCAATAGGCTAATCCTCCGCCTAGTGGCGCCGGCACACGGGGTTCTAGTCCCAGTCGGGGTGCTGGATTCTGTCCTGGTTGCCCCTCTTCCAGGCCAGCTCTCTGCTGTGGCCCAGGAGTGCAGTGGAGGATGGCCCAAGTGCTTGGGTCCTGCACCCCATGGGAGACCAGGAGAAGCACCTGGCTCCTGGCTTCGGATCAGCGCGGTGCGCCGGCCGCAGCGGCCATTGGAGGGTGAACCAATGGCAAAGGAAGACCTTTCTCTCTGTCTCTCTCTCTCACTGTCCACTCTGCCTGTAAAAAAAAAAAAATTAGAAAGATTTGACTGAAGAACTACCTTGTACTAATAGTTTTTTAAATTGAATATTTTCTCTACAACTGTCTCAATTTCTACTATCACAATTTATCTGCTTATATTTTAGATAAGAATCTCAAGAAAATTCTGTTTCATTTGTTTGTTTATATCAAAAGAATCAGCTCTTGAATTTAATTATCAGGTATTTTCCTTAACTTATACAATTTCTCTTTTCTTAAGTATTTTTGTTTTTCTAAACTCTTAAATTAAAAGTTTATCTATTTTCATTTTCCTTATTTTATTTAAATATTCAAGGCTAAGAACTTTCAAGTGCTTTAGGAATGTTCTTATGTTCAGATACAAAGCCTTTTCATGATAATATGCTGCAGTGAGTTGACAACTTCAGTTTTGATTTATTCTAACAGGAAACTAAAAAAAAATTAAAAAATACAGATAGTGGATTTTTTTTCTTTTTTTTTCTGTTAGGAATGACGTTTTATTATTCACTGCATTTTAATACATGAAGGTGATGTGTATACTTTCTGGAACTTACTACTTTCTGGAATTTTTTTAAATTTCTTTGTTACCTAATAAGGTCTTTTTTGGGTTTTTCATGAGCCTTTCAAAAGCAAAGAAGCTACATTCTTTATCATTAAGATAGAGAGTTTAACGCATTTATTGTAACCAGCTTATCAAATGTGCTATATAGGTCTTCTATATTCTCATATAAAACAATTATTGTTGATTTATAAATTGCAGTACTATGATCTGAGATACGGATATATATTAATCAACATTTTTTCAGAGTTTACTCTAAAATTTTATAGTGCATAATTTTTTGGCCTGGTCTAATACTTTTTTTTCCTTAAGCTGAATTAGAATCATTTGACATTAATATCATGATTTGTGTTCTTTTTGTTTGCCTCCTACATTTCTGTCATCTTTTTTTATTATCCTTTTGGTTGCTTTGTTTTGAAAATATTTCTTACATATAATAATATATGGTTGGGCTTTGTTTTTAGATCACAAATATCTTTCTTTTACAGAATTATTTTTCATATTTACATGCCAACTTAAATATTTTAAAAATAAAAAAAGAGAAAAATATCCATAAAAATCAATTATTGTTGGTCTTTTTTTTTCTTTTTTCTTTTTTTTTTGGATCTACAGTAATTTTATTGTAACAGAGAAACCAGGCTGCAGTACGTCTACATGATAAGAGCAGATGGTGGTTATCTTTCTGAAGCGTGAGGCCCATGTCCATCTGGCAGCACACAAAGGCCAGAGCACCTCTTTCCTGGCACTACCGGGCATTGCCTGACTCGTGATGTGAGAAGAGTGCCGGCGCAGCCACAACGAATGAAGGCAGGAGGTCCAGTTCGCAGAAGCAGCGTCCCGAGGCGAGGCGATTTAACAATCATTGACGAGGATGCAGAAATCAAGTGCAGTTACCCAACTCTCCATTATTCTTTGCGGAGAAAAGTGAGGCTAGGCATGAGCAGAAAATGTTTATTCTTAAATAAACCC